GAAAATGCAGATTCACCCAAATTATTCAAGCCAGCATAGAATGAAGACTGTGTTAAGGATACAGGGTGAAGATTGTTAGAAGATTGTAAGAAATCTGCCATTTAGAGCATCAACTGTAAGGAAAACTTTAGATTTAAATGAGAGTAAAAGAGAAGACACGCAGGTGGAAGGGATCAGAGAGAGACAAGGAAAGACAATTCTTAGTCTTATTGAGAAAAGATAGCAAGATACAAAAGATCTAAGGTGAGAATAAACTCACTCCCTTATCAAGCTAATACAACAGTTACTTCTTGTCCTTCATTAATGCTATATGCATGTAGTTGACCCCAAAGAAAGGCTCTTATATGGATTTTTATCTTCAAAGAAAGGAAAATGCTTCTGCAAATATTTAATGCACAAACTATTTGTGTAACACTTTGTGCTGGAGAAATTTCATGCTTGTGGATGGTGGATTTGTGCCCTGCAGTTTCAAAACCAGTGGTAGGGTGGTTTGAGCACATTATCTCAGGAGGTCTCTCCTAATCTTGTCCTGGACAGCTTTCCTAACAAAATTTAAATTGGTTAAAGTAAGAACAGAAGCATTTTTTATTCACTTAACTGTCTATTAAAGGCAAACTACATTGTTCGATTTAATAAAATACATTTGTTCCCATAGCAGCTTTGCATCTGTTTCTCACAACAGATCAAGTATATAGCAAAATACTTCTGAAGACATAACACAGAAAAAATCATACACTTTAACATAGTGTGTGATGAAACACAGTAGTTATCTGCCAAGCAACAAATCACATGGCTGCATTTCTCTGTCTGAGAAGAGCTGGTAAATACTGTAAATACATACAAACATGAAAACAGGATAATTAGCTGATGTGAGAGCAGTACTGGTGAAGTTCACTAGATCTGGTGAAAATTGTTTTTTGCTTTTGTAATGGCATAAATTTAATACCATTGTCCTTTATATTTCATTAACTGTGATCCTAACAGTAAGGATTTTCTTCGAGATACAATAAACAGTCAAAAATCATCTTGGTTTCAATAATATAAGCAACTCCTTTAAAAATTCTCTTCTAAATGCAGAATTGTAGTCTAAGGAAAATCCCCAGATTCTACAATATTTCCCATATGATTTATGAGTATCTACACATAAAGTTTTCTTACATTCAATTATCTACAATTTTCAGCTGTGTTTTGGGAGATGTTGCACTTGTAATCGACTTTCCTTAAAACTCAAAGGTAGTGAATAAGATCACAATCTTCAAAAACAGCAGCACTGAAGAAATCTCTCACACTGCATAATCTTCAGATTAATACCCCTCTATACTCATGTAAAATATGTAGGAGGTAGCCAGTAAACTTTCTCAAGATTAAATATATAATAATTATCTGTAAGATAAGATGTTAATTTACAGGAAATGCTGTTTGTGTTGATTTATTCTTTCCACTGAAGCTGTAGAAAACCCTGCAGACATGACAGCTTGCAAGGTGCAAGGCACAGTTGGTGCTTGCAAGGGTTGTAACCAAAGATCAAGGGTTTGCTAAGGATATGACAGTAAATGCAGTAACTTTTTTGTTTTACTGACATGTGTCCTGAAGAATATTTCTAAACTCCGAGGAAGACAGTACAATTATTAACACAATTACTGACATTCTATGAAAATTTTAAAAGTTTCCTCCAATTTGTCCTGCATTGGAGACTGAATTCAGATTTCAATGATTTTATACAGATTCTATACAAAATAGAAATATATAGCTCATTTTTAGTTGTGAATCTATAATGACAGACACTTGATGCTATGTTTTATAACTCAATCGTATAAGAAACTTTCATTCCTACTAATAAAGTTTGGAGAATTCTTGGAAATGCCTCATTATCGCTTTCATGGTAGGGGAGTCTGAAGTATAGCTATTGAATTTTAGAAGATATTTAAGACACCAAATACTCTAGTTTTACACATTATGAAATTGGACTGGAAATTTGAAATATAGTAAATGCTTAAAGCAGTCAGCCAGAAATATGCATAAGGCATGCAAAACTGAAAGTGCAAGTGGTTTTCAGATTCTTTGCTGCCTTCTACTATTTCTCTAATAAATAAATCAAGCACGACATGACATGCTTTATTTTGTGAAATTGGACACAAATGCATGCTTTATTGTCACTTAATTCTCTAACTCAGCAAAGCAATGTGTACTCAGTATTTTACATTGACAAATAGCATACCAAGTCAGAACTAGCGCAGAAGCATTATATTGCAAATACTAAAAAGCTAAACAAAAAGCAATGGGTATATTCAAATCTCAGGTTGCAGATAATTCTACTTAGTATGTCATTAATTGAGATAAGAATATTAACCCTATGACAAAAATTTAAATTAAATTAAAGCAATTCTTTACTTTGCCTTCCAGCATCTGGGTGGAGTTGGTTTTGAGACTGGCTATAGAAATATTAAAATTTCTTAGACTGCAGATTACTAGTAGATATTTTAAATGCCTTTAATATGGCTAAATTCATTTATGTGCTCAAAGCCAGCACAGGCTATGAACCATTTGTAACTGTCTCATCACCAATGATTCATAGATTTTATTTCCACTTTGTCAATGAAAATTATCTATCTCAAATTTGAAATTATGCTGTTTCATAAGTGAGTTGTAACTGCAAAATAAAACATGACTTAAAGAGTGAAGTATGTTTCGATATTTCTGGATTAAAAAAATAGCTATTACTGTTTAGTGTCTCTAAAATGCTGCATTTTTTATATTCACCAGAATGACAATCAGATATCAATTTAAAGTAGCTTAGCTTGTTTAACAATTTGTTTTCCAAAATTATACATAGCAGCCTATGCACAGGGGCTTCCATTGAATACATTTGATCTCTTCTTTTCAAGGCAAATTTTACATCATTTTGAATTTGGGGGAAAATAATAAATACATGCTGAATAAAAAACCTCAGCTTGTTGGTCAGTGTAGGTCTGTGTAATATAAAAAAGCAAGAAGGGCTAAATCATTTTTACTTCCTGTTGGCAAATACAAAATCTCTTTTAATGGGTTTTTATGAAATGAACTCAGTTTCTGAGAAGGCTGTAAGTTGATATGGGTATATTCTTATAATGAGCTGGTCAATTATTATTGGAATCTTTTTACTGTTCGTGAGTCATTCATAAAGTAATGCTAATATCTGTCAGTAGACAAGTGCTGTGCACGCATGCCAATCGTTTTGAAAAAAACATCTTCAGAAGTGTATATAACTAATAGTGAAGAGAAGACTATGCATTTGGCTGGTCATATTTGCTAAGTGACTACTAACAGGTACTTCATAAATTGATTATCATAAATATTGGAAGATGGAGCTGTAACCATTACTGCTTTTTCAGTCTTGTCTGTGATTCCTACACAGTAAAGTTGCTCTTGAATTATTCATCTTGTGTATCTGAAATCCTACCATATGATTGGGTCTCTGGCATAGATTCATAGTTTTACAGTATGAAACAAAGGAATAGATTTCAAATAATAATTTTTCTTTGAAAATGAATATCCTAAATGTTCTAAGTAGGAAATATACTAAGTAATGTAAGTATACAGAAAAAAAAAATTGAATAAAAGATTTTGCAATAATTTTCAACATTGTATTTCCAATAATGATTGTTTTGTTTCCAATGTCATCTGAAGAGTTGTTTCTTTTTCCTATATAACTTCTGAGCTAGTCTCCCAGTCCTCCTGCAGCTGACCAGAATGTTATTAAAAAAAAAATAAAGCTGAGAGCAATTTCCCAACATTTCTTGTCTGCAAAAAAACATGTCAGAATGTTCATGAACAGTAAGTACAACAAAAGACAGAGAAAATTGCTAAATCAAATAGTCATTTTAAACTTAATTGTCAACTCATACATTCTGTAGAATTTGACCAGCTCTTACTCTGATGAATTACCAATTCACACACTGCTTAAAGCAAAACTGAAAAATGAAACTGAAATTTACTCATCTAGCAGTCAGTGGTTAGCAATATTTCTTCTGATGATTACTGAAGTAGAAATATGTAGGCTGATGGATACAGTTTAAGGAAAAGAATTCTGAGATTCTCAGTTTGACTTCATTAATCTTAGGTTTGTATCTAAATACTGTTCAAACAGTGCATTTTAGGCTATTTCACTATTTTATAGTTGAACTGAAATTCGTTAGCACGCTATTTCCTCCCATGTTTCCATGAAGTAGCAAAACACATTCTCTTAAAATATATTTCAATGACATGCATATAGAGTTAGTTTGTATTCAGTGGCTTTTAGGAACAGAAGGCATAAACAGATGAAAAAAAAAAAAAGTTTTAATGCTTTCTTGAGGGAGATGTATAGTAAGCAGGGCCTCTAAGTAACTCAGAATAAGTATGACAAAACCTTATACACATTGTATTGAATAGAAATTTGTTGAAGCAAGAAAAACATTTAATTTACAAAAAGAATAATTTCATAGTGAAATAAACTCATTTTAGAAGCTTTTATCTTTAAAGTCAGCCAAACTCAGAAATAAATTTAAACCACTATCTGATATGAATACATCTCTGGTATGATCTAATAAGATCCAGTGTTGGTAGGCCAAAGTTCGTTTATCAAATACAATAAACGAAGAAAAATTAATGATTTCAGCTGGTAACAGAAAATACCTTACAAACTATTGCTAAATTAAATCCTCATATAAGCAGAGTAACGCTTATTTAATTCATTGTTAAAAGTCTGTTGAGAGAGTTCATAATCGGTAATTTTAAAGCCGTAAATGCAGAACTCCTGAGATTGGCTAGAAAGTAAAGTAATCTTAATGAATGTAACTGCTATGTGATACTGCATATGGATTTAGGTGAATTGATGAAGCTTTTTGCTTATCTGTTAGTAAAAGATATGCAATAGATAAAAAGATAGTGCAGCTTTTCTGCATGGACTTGTCATTCCTTATTCTGCATGCATGGATTCTTTGTATGCATGCATAGTTTCAGATTCTTTCATTTTTTCTTACCCTCATGCCTTCAAATCGTGACAATGCTCTTAGAGGTCTCAAAGCTCTTAGTGTCCTAAGGGACTTAATGGCACCAAGTTCAGAGTAACCCAATGCATTTGCTGTTAAGCTAACCAAAGAGACCTATATGAAAACAGGAAAGTAAAAATTATTATATTATACATACTACTTTACATACCATAGATGTGAGACACAAACTTCTTTAGAAGAATTTTAGAAGAATTTGGACCACTTTCTTCAGGAATACGAAGTCTTTTAAATAAAAAAAAGAGAATTAATGAGAAAGAAGAGAAAGATAAGTAAATAGTTAAAAATGCCATAAGGTAACAGTTAGTATCTGAAAACATTAATAATTAGGAATTTCATATTTTAATAGTGATTTGAGGGCAATTTTTTTTCCCCCTCTGTTATACAATGCTGCTAGAATTAGTAATTATAGTTGATAATACTCCTTTGATTGCCCACAGCTAGGAGGGAATAATTGAAGCCTGTTTTGAGTTAACAGATGGGTCACAGAGTAACTTTCTCTGGAAACTGGTAGACTGATTATTCTATATTCAGTTATACTAACTAATGTTTTAGCCTGATGACCAAATTTACATACTTTACAGGCTGACATTAACCTGGAATATGCTGTTTTTTAAAAGACATCACAGAAACAGTTCCAATAGGCAGCAGAACAACTAAAGTCACGTTTTCATCTGCCTGTATGTATCCTACATCCCTGCATTTCCTCAATGAGATATACATATCCTCTACATTCACAATGGCTCTTGACAAAATAATTTCAGTTTTCACTCCATTTCCCCTGAATGGTCTTTCATTATCCTGTTCCAATTCCTAAACTAGTTATTGGAAAAAAATATTTTAATAGTCAAATATACTATTTAATTATTAAAAACAAATGAACAAACAAAAAACACCCACCCACAAATCAACATGGAAAGAAAAGCCTGCAGTGGAGCTCTTCATTAATCATGTTTAGAAGCAAGTATTAGATGTGAAATCTTGAACTTTTCTCTTCTTGCTAATCCTCATCTTTACTAACCTGCAAAACTACGACCTTTTGGAATCTGGTTTTTTTTTTTACAGTACCTTCATAATGCTATCAAAAACTTAATTTTTCAAGCAGTAATAATCTAATGCCAAGTTAAAGAAAATATCTATATCATTCTTAATTCACTGAAAGCAGGACAAAATGCATTTTAATTTTAAATGTCAACTTGCTTAATATTTCTTTTTCCTGTAAGTTTTACCAACTACTGGTACAGTATGCATTTTTGCACACTGGAGGTTTTCTTAAGGAGGCAAACTGAGGACATTTGTTTTAAACTGTCATCCTAATTTTAAATTGCATCAATTCATAGAGAAATTGTCTCCCACGATTCATGCTACAGCACAGTAGATTTAAAACTATTAGATAACTCCATAAGGAAAGATAATTGAATTTGATTTCAAACACAGCTGTGAAGATTATAAGTTCAATAATATTTTGTGGACTTTTATACTAAGTAAGTCACACAATCAATGCTACACATGCATTTTGCATTCTTTGTAAAAATTTTATTCAGTCATATGCACTACAGAGTTTGTAGTTGGATATTTTGGATAATTGTTTTTCAGTAAGAAGGGTCTAGTAGAAGAGACATTAATCTGAATGCTAGATGTGATTTAGACCACAGGAAGGAAAGTGGGGCCATGGGGCCTTAAGGTGGGTGTGAGCAGTGCTGAGAATAACTGCAAATACCTGGAGAGTTAGTATGTTGCATTCCTTTGTTAGCTGGACTGTATTATTATTAATTCTGTGATATAGAGAAGTAGTAATGTAAGGATAAAATGAAAGACAAAGAACTATGGATTTTTTTTTCCACCTACCTTACTTTTTAAACTGGAAAGTAATTTAGGTGGTATACACTTAAATATTATGGTTGTAGAGAAAGTAATGAAAAAAAAAAGAGTAAAAATACCACCTAGGAAATACAGTACATACATCAACAATCAGAAAGTCCAGCCAGCACCAGGCATTAGTAAAGTATGTTTGATAGCCATAGGCCACCCACTTCAGCAGCATTTCCAGAATGAAGATGTAAGTGAAGACTTTGTCAGCATATTCCAGCATGGTCTTGATAGTTTTGCGCTGTTCAATATATATATCTTCAAAAGCCTGTAAGAAAAATATTCAAACATATTTGTTTTACATTTAACAACAGCATATAGTTTAGGTTTTAACAACAAGGAATAAAAAGAAAGGGAGCAAATTTTCTTCAAGAACAGGGGTGGGACTATCACTTTTATTTCAAGGTTTCTTTTCTAGTAACTCAGTATGTTTTTCCTCTACAGAAAAATATTTTACAACTTACAGGAAGGAAAAGCAACAACTACTCTGGTCAGAGATTTTTATTTATTTATTGCTGCTGTTCAGTTATTCTACTCAGATTGTTTTCAATTCTCAGAAACAGCTCTGATTCTACAAAGAGATGGGAGTGAGCAGAATTCTACTGAGAGAATCTGGTTTATATATAGGGAGATCCATTTACAAAATCCAGGGCCATAGCTGTAAAATTTTCAGGACAATGACAAAGCAGTTGATATTATGCTGCTAAGTCCTTCTAGTTTTTGAAAATTTTAAGTGATAAATCATAAAACAAGTTATTCTTTTTTAAAACAAACAAACAACAGTAACAAAAAGCCCAAATACCTGCTTTATAGTATTTTTCTCTATTTATTAGGTGCATAAAATTTCTTATAATCCTTGCAATGTTATGTTTTCTGTTTTTTCAATTTTAGAAATTTGAGAGCAGATGTTGCTCAAACGTATAACATCTGTTTTTCAGTACGCTTCAGTACACTTACATGTTCAGTAACTGTTTCTGTCATCTTATACATTTTGCTGTTAATTACTTTTAAATCTTAACTATATTACTATTATAAAGGTTATTGGTTTTATTGGAATGAAAGAACTGGAATGATCTGACAGCTTGCAGATATTTGGGTATTCATTGATACTAAAACTCATTTTTACCCAGACTGATTTTGAAACCCTTTTGTCAGTTCAAATGATTAGTGTTTGTCTATCAGTTGGTATTCTCTCAGGAGAATGAGATGCTAACAATTCGGGATCTCATTTCGAAACACAATGATGGACCTTTATAGCTTTTCTGTCTAATTTTCTTTCATTTAAATCTGCGTTGCTTTTGTTTTCTTCAATCAGTATCATCAACCAAAATTCAATAGTGTAGATACGAATCTTTTATCATTTCAGTGGTTTTTAGAATACAGGAAAGCTATCAGATTGCATTGTATAAAAGTTGCATAGTTGATTGTTACTTTGATATTAAACCAGAGAAAACCAAAGTGTTTACAGATTTAACCAAAACTAAGGTCAGGTATAATCATAAACTGTGAACTACTAGCTCTACTTTAAAGTTTTCTAAGGAATAGCCTAAGGAGCTTCTAATATACTACTGCAAAGTAATTTTGTTTAACAATTCAGGAACTTAAGTAATTTACTGAATGGTAATTGTATCTCCCTGAGTGGATGCTAGACATACTTACAGGTTATTTCAGGGTTTAATTTGTCAGTTAATCTCAAATTTATGTATTCATTGTCATCGTTTTTATTTGTAAAATAATACAATAAGTGTTGTTTCTTTTATTATTATAGATTTATATTATGGTCGTAATCTCATTATTCTGTTCTCACAGGCTTGTTATACTTACCGCACAATGATCAACAACATTTTTTACATATATCCTTTTAGTCTACACAAGTCTGAACTAGAAGCGTGAATGATAAATTTTTATTCTTAGAGGAGACAGTTATTTTCCCTGAGACACATCAATAAACACCAGGAAAACTAGAGACCAAACTCAAATAATAAAGCTAAATGTGTTTTCTTCTCATGTTGTCCCCCTCCCAGATTCAGGCATATTAGTTTCAGTTGTGGAGTTAAATTCTCTAATCAATTATATCTGTTCTTTTTGGACATATTATTGAGAAGAGACTTTTTCTACCTGTTTTTTAAAGTCCTGATCCTTTGAAAACATGAAATTACATGCTTTTTAACTAAGTTAAAACAATGTTTTCCGAGAGCAGTTACAATACTCTCTTCATGTTTTACTCACCAGGGCTCCACTGCTGAGGAGAATCATAAAGACAATGAAAGTCTCAAACCAGTTGTGTTCAACAATTCTGAAGCATGTTTTTCTGAGATTCCACCACTGCTTTCCTCTCCCTTCTTCTACACTTACTTGACAGCACTTAAACCTCCGTACACAGCCTTACAACAGCATATGTATTGAGAAAAAGAAAGATTTTGTTGAATTACGTAACTGTTGGCTGTGTGTACTTAGTAACACAACACAGCATTTCCAGAAGCTATGCTATTTAGTAAAAGTCAGAGGATTTTCATCTAGATGGTCTTTTTCTCCTTCAAAGCAATAAAATACAACAATGAGACAATTGAAATTTACAATTCAAAGAATTGATGAGAAAAAGTATTTCTTATTTATAAAGATTAACTGCTCAATACAGTATATGCAAAAAGATAAAAATTCATGCAACATAAAGCTAAATTATAAAGTAAGAAATAAAAAATATATTAATTCATTCAAAATTAAAGTCTATATGGTAATTCTTGGGCAAATGTTTTATTGTACTTTCTTTTGTGTGAGATACTAAATTCAATATCCATATGGTGAATTATGGCCTAAAAGCATTACTGCTTCCAATCATAGTTTAAAAACTGACAAAAAAGTAAATAATTAAACACAAATATTAAGAACTAGTTTTGACAATTAATTGTTCCATATTTCATAAATAAGTTTGGATTTTTTTTTGTCTCAGACACCTTCAGTGAAGCAGGCCTCTGGCTCCATGGATTCCTCAGGTTCAGCTTCTGGTTGCTCTTCTGCAGGAAGTCCAATGTCAACTGTGCTGCCTTCAGATGAACTGGACATATTTAGCTTCTGTAAAAAAAAGAAAAAGAATCACAAATTTCCATTAAATACTTTTAGGAAAATATTAGTATTTTCCAGAATAATTTAATAGTTCTTTTGTTCTGGTATTCAGTGCAAGTTAATTGCTGACAAACTGAAGGGAAATTTGTACAGTTTTTAAATTTTCCTTTGTACAGTATCGATCTTAATAAGGATTAAAGAAAAATAGATTTTAAATTACAAAATATAAATAATGGTTCTAAGCCTGCAAAGATTTATGACCACAACTAACTAGTAGTGGTAAAGATCTCTTGTCCTGGACAGAGTACAACTTAAATATATATCCAGCAACCTGTTAAGTCTACTGAAAAGCAGGTAACAGCCCAAATATAACTATAGAAATGAGGTGGCAGCTGAAAGAAAAGAGGAGAAAAAAAACCACTGATAAGCATAGAAGGCTGTATTCTACAGGTGGAGGACAATATCGTTAGCAAGAAAATGGGTAAAGATATCCAGTTTTAGCTTCAGTCATTAATTTTCACGAGAAACAGTTTATAGAGGTTTTATTTTTAAATTCTGTTTTCACCTAAATATTGCCTTTTTAATATTTTAATAAAAATAGTATTTTCTTCTAGCAATCCAACACTCATAACTCATCCTTTGCAGTATATTTTGCCATTCAAATTCATTTTGAAAATACTTTTCAAAACTTTAAAAACCTTTTCATTTTGGAAAAAATATTTACTTTTCCTTTCAATTCACCATTCTCTTTCATGCATTTTGGACACCAAAATTAAATTCTTTAAAATCAGCAGTGCTAATTAACAGTTTTTCTAAAATACAGTTCTCAACAAAACATAGGTCATAAGCAGTTCTTGATTATCTTGGTTCCTCATTCCTTTGCATCCTACCTCCTGTTGGAACTGTAGTAATTTTTAACCCTTTCTCACATTTCTGCTCATCAAGAATTAAACCCTCTTTTATACACTTACTCTATAAAGAAGTGTCAAAATAACAAATGGTGAATTACTGAATACACTGGCTTGGGTTGAGTAAAGAAAAACATGCAGAAGGGAACAAGAGAAATGCACAAAGTATCTAAATACCTCTTTGCTCTCCTCCAGGTCTGATTCACTACTAAACTCCTCTGTATTTAAATTTTCAAAGTCAGATTCACCCACAGCAATGGGCACTGTCACAGTCAGGCTTGGGTTGTTTATGAATGACATATAATCACTTTCATCAATTATATATTTCTCCACACTGCTGCCTGTGCCTATGCCACTAGTTGTTCCATTCACATCTTTAATATAATCATGGTCCTTGCTCAATTCTGCAGTGTGGTTGGAAATACAACTGTTTTTGTTGTTCAAATCTTCAAGTGGTTTGATTTCATCTAAAGCTTTTTGTTTTTTAACGAAAGCTTTTTGGATGAATTCACGTGCTTTTCTTTTCACATAGTCTATGCCCTTCTGCATTCTTGCTACTGCAATTTGGAGATTGTTCATTTCATTATCATCATCTGTCACAGCAAGGTTGTCAGCACTAAATGAGCTCAGCAGCAAGGCCAAAAATAGGTTCAGCACCTGCAGAAAGATGAAAAAAGAACATTCTAAAATTCATGTCAACAAAGAACTTGCACTTTGTTTAAAAAGTCCTACTAGCAGCATTGAAGGCTGAAATCTCAACAGTTCACAAAAACAAAATAAAAGCACCCTCAGAACTCTTGCCCCATGAAAAACGGAGGGTATTTGTTTGTTTCGATTGTGTCTTGTTTATTATTAAAAAAATATTTCAACTGATGAATATCTGTAAACACATTCTTAAATCCAGATGGCATATAAATATTTTGTTAGAAAAATCTTATCACCTGAGATAACAAACTTGCTATTCAGCATCATAAAATTGTTTAATTTATTCCTTCACACAGTAGAAACAAGATTTAGATGACTAATCCTATGTTATAAATAATAATAAAATTACAGCAAATGATTTATTAAGAGCCCATAAACTAAAATTGTTTGGAGAACAAATATTTAGAAATAGCCAAAAGACAAATTAAGAATGTGACTAAGAGATCACTCTAACATCATCTTAGCTTTTTAATATCACGAGGTACAGAATACTTTGTTCTGTATCCAAAAAATCTCTTACACTTGAAACTACCAGCCTAAGTGCTTTATTGAAGTAGAGCCAGATCACTTAGTTCTCTTCAGAATTGAACCCACTCTGTTATTGAAGAGTATTTTGTAAATGTTTTGATTACATACCACTAAGTTTCCAATCACCATGACCATCATGAAGACAGTAAGGCACATTGCTTGGCCAGCAACCTCCATGCAGTCCCACATTGTTTCTATCCATTCTCCACACAGCACTCGGAATACGATCAAAAAAGAGTGAAAAAAATCTTGCATGTGCCATCGTGGAAGTACACAATCACTTGCAATTTTGCAGACACATTCCTTATAGTTTTTCCCAAACAGCTGCATCCCAACAACAGCAAAAATGAACACAATGATGGCCAGAACGAGAGTCAAATTTCCCAGAGCTCCCACTGAGTTGCCAATAATCTTAATCAGCATATTTAGAGTTGGCCAGGATTTTGCTAATTTGAAGACTCGTAACTGGAAGAAAAGAAAAACAGCGTTAGGACAAGCAGAAACAAAAAATACAAAGATATTTTTATGGAAAGACACTACTACAAAAAAATGCCTCCTGTTGAAAGTTTATGTTCTTTTCTACATGCATGATGTTCAAAAGGTCAGTCACAAAATTTTGCAAAGTTAGAGCTTGATAACGTCAAAGCATAGTTTTCCCCCAAACCCAAGAAACAATCTGTTAAATAGAGTTTAAAATTTAGGGTCCATCTTTTAAAATAAATGGGGCTACTTTTCTGCAGTTATTTACACAATGGATCTTCTCCTGTGATATTAATCAGAGCACAATACATCTATCTAAAGAGTCTGCATAGCAGGATGTTTAAAGTGTGTACATATAATGAATAGATCGGAAATAGGCCAAGACACCCATCGCTATTTATTTTTCTGGATCTCTACTGATTCATGCTGAAGACAGTAAGGTATCAAATATGGATTTGTATGGATTTGTACTGCTGAAAGAGACTTCAGGATCAGTATCGTAGCAAATAATGAAAATTTTTAAGGGGAAAAAAAAACAAACTAATGAAGTATCATTGAATAATCGGTGCAATTGATGTATATTTACCAATCTGAATGATCGAAGAACTGAGAGCCCTTCTACATCTGCAAGACCAAGCTCAACCAAGCTAAGGGTTACAATAAATCCATCAAAAATATTCCAGCCTTCTTGAAAATAATAGTAAGGATCCATTGCAATTATCTTGAGAAACATCTCTGCTGTGAAGATTCCAGTGAAGACCTGAATTCAGAGTGCAGATGGTTATTTTTTGCAAATTATAATATTGCAGGTTTAGCTGTTGTCTAGGCTACCTATCGGAAATTAGCCTCATCCAAAACTGAGACTTAAAAACAGTTCACTGTGGTGATATATTATGACCACCTTACCTTAACAGAGGTCATATAAACCAACCAATTTTTTTCAAATAATTAAATTCTAAGCTGAAAAAGACATTATGTAAACTTCTGGTTTATAACATTTGTAATCCAATTTCAATTATATCAGGATACGGACTTCCTCATGTATTGTACAAACAATATCCTTAATTTGATTTTCATGGCATAAACCAGAATGCTTTCCAAGAAATTATATGGCATAACATAATTTTTGGTACAGTTATTACATTATACAGCATTATGAATGAGGCCAAGTCTAAGACTCCTGATGAGTAGCTTCTTTGCTTACACACCCTACAATAATTCCATTCAGTTCAACAGAAATAAGATTATTTATAACAGCTGGAGATCAACAGAGATACGACAATTTGCAGAAGCTGAAGAAACTTCTATGTGGGTGTTGTCAGTAAGCTCAGTAAAGCCAATTGGCTCAACTGTTTTTAAGTCAGGACTGAAATAACATTTAGAAGTGCATTTTAAACATGATATTTCCTAATATTCCTAATAATTTCCTATCGTGGAGTTCAATATTCTTAATGAAGCAGGAATCATATTTAGGGAGCCACCAAGGTACTGAGCCTGAGTAGGTTTAAGAGAAAGCAGTTGTGATTCTGAGTATTAGAATTTCTTATAGGATAAGAAAGTATGAAAGCCACCATTAAAGGCTAACTGAGCTCTGCACTGTGCTGGTTATTTGTCTTTACTTTTGGTTTTTGATAACTCAGTTTTCAAGCTGAACAAAAACTGCAACAGCTAAAGAGAATAACTGGGATAATCGGGATCTGGACAAGATTCTGACTTGTTCAGTGTAGGAACATAAATTCTCAAGATAGATTTTATTACTTCTAAATACATCACAGATGCAAGCACTGGAGAGGAAAAGTTACTTATAGTTATTACAGAGAATTAAAACCACCATGGAAGAAGTGGGAATGAATAAATACCATGTGAAAATAGGAATAAAGTTCCTAACCATTGTGACAGTGAAGTTCTCAAGGGCATTTAAAGATAAACTATGGGAGCAGGAGAACCCTGATAGCTTCTGCTTTGAGAAAGAAACTTAAGATTGAAAGAGGATGGTGCTTACAGCCAACCTCTCTCACACTCTCTTTCCAGTCTAATATTCACCAATATTTATATATTTTCCTGATTGGCAAGTAAGACTGTAATATATATATATATACAAGCTATAATACAAAACAAACTGCTACAATACAACATATTCAGAGTTTCCTTTATTATAAGTGTATGAAATTTGGTTAGGAATTTGTCTATTAATTTTCCTTTCCGAATTCTGTAGTTATTTGATCTGAGATATTTTTTCCTTCATTACAAAACAAGGATTTTAAAAAATCACGTTATAAGAAATCAATTCTTAAAATAAGAGATGAAGTAGGACTGCAGCCACAGATACTTCTGTGTGATCAAACCTGTCAGTTCAAAAGCATCATAGCTACAGAAAATTAACTACTGAATTCTTTAATAATTTATCTTCTTGAAGTTGAAGGGAGAAAATATAGTTGACAACATGATAAAAAAGTTACCTTACTAATTATCTGATTCTAAAAAATATAAAAGACTGTAAGAAGAATAATTACTGTGGGACATTTCTCATATTTAGAATAAGCATACATAGAGAACAATCCACGTATCCACATAAAAGTTTATTTAAAGAAGAAAATTCTAGAAATGCCTTTAAATGGCTCTTCTAGTGACTGTAAACCTATACTCAGGAAACAGAGCAAAGAGACGAAAGCAATTAAAAACACATTCATAATTTACACATTTGTATTGTATTGATTGAAGAAGAAACACATTTATTCCATGGTGTCTTTTTCATGGAAGTAATGCATTTCCTGGTTTAGTAGCCAGATAAATCAACTTCTATTTAATATAGACTTAATGTAGCAGTGGTGCCTTTTTTTTTAAATATTTAATTTGGTTTTCCAGAACACAGGAAAATATTGATTTTACAGAATTCTAAGTTATGTAATCCAAAAACGTTACGATATAATCTATTAGGAGGGTAACAAATGGTCGGTAAATCTGCTTTCTAAAGAGGTACAAACAAACAGACATACTTCCTTTAAAAACATAAACACAAAAAAAGCAACAGACTTACCAGATTTCCAACTGAAAGTACGTTATTGAATTCATCAGTCATCGGATAATGCTCCATGGCCATAAAGAGTGTATTTAAAACAATGCAAATTGTAATAGCCAGGTCAACAAATGGATCCATTACAACTAAGTTGACAATATGCTTTACTTTTAACCAATGAGGACTGCAGTCCCAGATTAAGAAAATATTTGCAAATTTATACCAACACGGTGGGCATTTCTGTCTTGATTCTTCGAGTTCTGTGGGAAAGCAAAATTCATAAGTACATGATTGTTCTAGCATTCTCAAGGCTAGATGAGTTATACCAGTCAAGTTATCAGTCTATAGTGGCATATCTTTTATAATTTTTATTCATTCCTAGTACAAAAAAAACATCTTTATCACATACAGCTGAGCTTTTAAAGAGTAACTGAATAATATAACTACTAAAAATATGTATATACAGTTATATATTTGAAAAATATTCTATTATCTTTCTGTGTACAGTGAAGTGTTTTTTTAATAATACGTATAAGCGTCCCCTCAGTTGTTGTCATCAAACAGAACTTTGTAGTCCCAGCAAGCACAGGGTAGATGGTAGCAAAACAATGAACTAGAAATGCTTACTTATGTAATGACTTTATTGAATATAGGCCTCTGAGTGTACTGATAAATATTCATTGGTTTGTTGGACAGTATCTATTAAGGTATTTTAAATCAGTTTTTAAGCTTCAAATCAGATTTTCAGGAAAAATATGGCATTAAGCTATGTATAACACACACCTTCCACAGTGTTTGTAAGGATGCTAGCAATGCTCATTGCTCTCTCTCTTAAAGCTGGATCTTCCAGATAGTCCATAGAAACATGCAAAGAGCCTGATATTCTCTTCCTCATTTCTGTCTCTGTAGTGGTGCCCTACACAGGGAACAGTAATAGGTGAGACCACATTTGAATAATAAAATAGACAAATACTACATAGATCCCTGTTATTAATATGCATATATACGTGCTTCGTGCACTTCAAGTTTTATCTTGTCAGACTTTTCTTACTTTTTAATATCTTTAAGATAATTTTTAAATGATAATAGGCAATAGTTACCTAACTGTTCAAGATTTAGTGAGAGTTTATTCACTTAACTATTGCATTTCTTTCCTTCAAGCTTAGAAGAATTATTTAAAGATATGAAAAGGACTGAATTAGGACTGAATTAAAAAAATTGTACTTTTTTTGCAAACTATTTTTTCCGTGCTCTCGCTGACAGAATATTCAATTTCCTATGACATAATAGTTTTTTTACACTAGACAAATTGTAGCAAGTAAGAAAAGTACGACTTCCTCATGCTTCCTCATGCTAGTATATTTCTAATTAATGTGAGTAGACAATTTTGAACTAAGAAATTTATTTCAGTGATCTCCTCTCCTATCTGCATACACATACACAGTGACAGCAATATGTGCTGCAAATATGTTCACACAGACATTTATAATTTGTATTTTTGGTAGTGTGTGCAGAAATGCAATATTCCAATTAACTATGCATTTATACTACAGAACTCCACCAGCATAGGATGGAAATATACAGAAAGAAGAAATAAATGGTAATAAAGAACTGCCTACTTCCTTACATTTTTAGTGGGTCTGATATAGAATCGTATATTATCAAAATTAACCGATAATGCTAATTTTGATATACTGGTAATAACAGTTTCTTACTGATTGCAGACGTATGATAACATTTTTGTATACTGTTCTCAATCGTATAGAAACTTTGATTTTGTGGACCATAACCAGCCAGACATTTATAGCAGCAAAATGAATGCATAGCCTGGTAATACAGTATAGTGCTTTTGTGGATGTATAGATAATGTTTTACTATATGGAAACTGCAAATTGCATTTGTTAGTTATGAGAATATTAGTAAGTAAATGCAAACTATCATATCTGTTTAATTTATTAAAGATTTTACAAGATGCAGGAGCATTCACAGCTTGACCAACCAGGAAGCATTGCCAAGGATTCCATTCTGTAGGTAACACTGGCTGGTGCAGTAAGAAAAGGCCATGATGCCTAAGCTGTTTAAAACTTTCTTACATTGTCATCAGTAGCTGGTTTATCTATTATCACCTCTGGCAGAAGCTGTCCAACAGGCGATGTAGGAACAGATGGTCCACCAACCAGGGAAACCACCCCATTGCAATCCACAGTGCTGTGCATCTTCCCATTCACTGGAAACACTGCCAGCATCCTGGATGACCTACTGGCCTGACTAATGTTACTGTTGCGCCGTTCACCGTGTCTGCGCGGCACAAAGAGAGAATCTCTTCTGCTATCATTGTCTTCAAAAGTGCTGTGCTCATCATCAGCAAAGTCATTTTCAGATCCTATATCCTTTGCTCTACCTCTGAAGCTGAAAAGACTTGTTCTGCTGTTGCGCCTTGGGGAAAACAGGGAGCCACGAATGCTCAGCAAAGACTGTAGGCAAACAAAATTTGTGATTATTAACTGAAAACTTCAAACTTAGTATTGCCATTAGTACCACATATCTTTTTCATTTTTTTTCTTACATAATGTTAACCACTTTTAGCAGAAGTTAACGCTACTGTGAATATTTTGTACGTTCACCATATTTTGCAAGAAGAAATACCTCTGCTCATGGAGTTTTAAAACAAAACCAGTTTTGAGCACTAATGAAATTTGTTCCTAATGTCTGCTAAAGTAGCTGGGTGGTTGAACAATATCCATCAAGCAAAAATGCATTATAAACATGCATGTTTTTTCATATATGCAGCATCCTTCACATATTGAACCAACCTCCAAAATCATCGAAGCAGGAGGAAAATGTAAGGCTACCATAATGGAAAGACACCATAACATCTTAATAAGAATAGAAAATGTATAATCACTCTAAGAAACTAACGGAATCAGCTGAAGAATATTTTTAATTTATTTTTTGAGCAATGTTTTTACAAGAGCCGGTGTATGAAGTTAAATTTCACTCTGATGTTTTGTCTTTTTTTACAAGACAGCCTAGCACCTACAGCACTTTCTCTCAGGTGCAAACAAGAATGAGAAAATTTAATGAAAATCCTGGTTTCTTTTCTTTAAGCAGTAGGTTCACATTACTGTACCAGGAAACTTGTTTTATAACAGCCTACGATGCTTTAAATATATGCTTCTATCAAAAATAACACATGCAATATGCAATACCTGATGTGGAGAAGAGTATTTCTTTTCATATGTCAGCCTATTGCCTTCAATAGATAACCGGAAACCTTTTCTTCTGATGCTGTCTTCTGATTCAGACTTGTGAAATTCATCTTCATCTTTTTCCTCTCCTCCAGACTGTTCTTTCTGTTTTCTTTTTTTCCTTCTATTTCTCCTTTCTTTGGCACTCTTTGAGCTCAATTTGGAAGCCTCTGAGGAACTTTCTGAAAGCCCACCTGCTCCTCCCGCGACACTGGGTTCCCTGGACTCTGCAGATGCTGTTACTGCCGCCGCTGCCACTGCTGCTGCCTGTCACATCACAGAATGAATTCATGTCACTCAGCAAACCATGACATCAAAACTGTTAAATTTTACTTGTACAGAATTTTTAGACCCCCTCACCCCCAAAGTCTTATCACTCACAAACTGTACTGATGACTAAAGAAAAACATAACAAACAATATATTCCTGGTTCTGAATATTCTTGACTATGCCTCAGTTGTTCTCAGTACAATGCAGAAGAGAAAATCTCTGAGCTAACTCCAATACTGAAAGTCCAGCACAGTGGTTTTAATCTCCAAATTCAAAAAACAGGGATTTAAGTATCTCTACAAGAATTCCTGTTATGCGCTTTATTAAGCCATTAAATTATACCTGAGCTGCTTCTTGCTGCTTCTTTAGCTGTTCCAGCATTTGTTGAAATTCTGCCTCTTTCTGCTCTGCTTCTTCCAGGGTTGCTTGGTTCTGCTCTTCATAAGCCATGGCAACCACAGCCAGGATCAAGTTGATCAGATAGAAGGAGCCCAGAAAAATCACCAAAACAAAAAATATCATGTATGTTTTCCCAGCAGCACGTAGTGTCTGGAAACAAAAATGCATTCATAAGCAAGAATAGGTAGACAAAGTTCTGTTTCTTATACTTTGAAAAGTAAGATAACATAACTGATTTTAGACTTCTTGCATTACAGGTAAAAACATGTTTAGTCTATCACCCATAACAAAATTCTCACCAGCTGATAAAGATTCTCCCAGAAGTCTTGGGTCATCAAACGAAACAGTGACAAGAAAGCCCAGCTGAAAGTGTCAAAACTTGTGTAGCCATAATTGGGATTTCTACCAGCTTTCACACACGTGTAACCTTCTGGACACTGCCTGCAAAGACAAACTGGCTGTCATCTTATATAGTTATTTTAGTATTATCAATTGGAACATACAGAAGATTGTGATTAAAAGTGTATTTTTCTTTGGTTAATCAGACTACAAACACCAGAAATTGTGATTTATAATCGAGAATTTTTAAAGAACACTAAAAAATTATACAGGAAAGGCACAAATAAAAACCTACTATGAAAAGCTGAATCTAAACTTCTAAAATGTAATTCAAATAATTCCTTTAATTATTAACGCTGTAACTAATGTCACTGTGAAAACTACTGCCTGCTACTGAATGTGATAGTACTCCTGCATGCAGCAGGAACTGGAACATAGCTGGTGTTTTCTAGCTGTGCCATCTGTTGCTTCTCATGCCCAGCAGTAGCTACATTAATTGCAAATTACTGATTCAGCCATGCAAATACTAAGCTCATTAAGCAGTTCACTGAGCTCAATGGTCTACAACGTTGCCAATGGATCAGGAACTCTGATCCAAATCGTAATGCAAAATCCTAATATCACTTCTTATGTGAAAGAATATATTCACTCAAAATATACGATGTATACCTTAAGATGGATCTAATTTATACACTGTAAAAAAGATCTCTCAAAAATTTGTCTTACCCAGCATCAGAACTGTTTCCACAAAGGAGAGCATCATTTTGCCCTTCCAGAAAATAAAAATGACCTGTTTAGGAAAGAATTTCCAAAAAATTAATAAAATTCTGAATATTGATCTGTGGGTTTGTTCTTTTGTTTTTAACAACTGAAGCTCTCTGAAACAAATAGTCCAGATCTATAAATAATACGATTTCAGATACATCTTTAAATGAATATTAGCATTGTTTCAGCAGGAGTGTAACTTGGAGTAAATGCCACCACAAATTGCACTAAAAGTCATCTCTCAGCTTATTGTTAAAATACCAAAATGCACTAAAAATCCCAAAGAACGCTGCTGGATGTAAATGAATTCTACCATTCTCCTTTCAGACTGACCAATGAACTAACTTAAAACTTACGGCATTATACTGTACACTTACAATTAAATTGTAGCTGAAAAAAGAAAGGTACTGATAATTTGTTTTAAGGAGGGAAACTTTCTGATCAGCATTGACAAAAGTTCCAGTTGGCCACTTACCAACACATGTTGCAGTTATCTCGTATCTCCCTCACTACAAGGACAATATTGAGGCCCTGAAACGTGACCAGAGAAGGGCAATGAAGCTGTGAAGGATCTGGAGCACAAGTATTATGGGGAGTGTCTGAGGAAACTGGCATTGTTCAGTCTGGAGAAGAGAAGGCTCAGGGGAAATCTTGTCACTCTATACAACTAGCTGAGAGGAGGTTCTGATGAAGAAGATTCTTCTCCCAGGTGACAGCAATAGGATGAGAGGGAATGTCCTAAAGTAGAACCAGGGGAGGTTCATGTTGGATATTACAAAAAAATTATTTTCTGAAAGAACGGCGAGGTATTGGAACAGGCTGACCAGGGAGTTACCACCCCTGGAGATTTTCAAGAAAAGAGTAGATGTGGCACTGAGGGACAAGGTTTAGAACAGGAATGGGCTGATGGTTAGAACAGATGATCTTAAAGGCCTTTTGAGCCTTAATGATTCTATGATAAGTGAACTCTGCAAAAATCATCTGGCTCCCAAGGGCTCTTACTATTATGGGCACTCACAGTCTGCAATGTGACTTATGATTGGTATACAGTTCGGTATATATCTAAATCAAATAACTGCAATATTCATTTGTGTAGGTAGGTGATATGTATATATGATGAAATTATTTATAACCTTGGGAAAGAAATAATGGGAAGGTTCCACCAAATCACTCTGTAACTAAGCATCTCAAAAGTTGTTTAGTAATCCTGAACTTAAGGGGCTTTTTAGATGGTTTAGACAGCAACAACATTGACCTATCTGTCCTTAGAAGAATAAAGAGATGATGAGCAAAAAGTTGTGCCTATTAAGATGCACATTCACTATCTACTTGAATTTTCTCCTCAAAGCAGACTTTTACAATAGCACTTCTGCAGCTGCTGCACTTTTGAACTGTTCCTTTTTTGCTGCCTGAGGAGAATTAAAACTCCCACTGGTTTTCTGCTCCACAGAGCTGACCTGCTGGTCTCCTTAAAATGGCCTCAACTGAAGTACTACCAGCACAACTGAGCTCAAACTTGGCTGTAGCTGCATATACTGCGCTGGTGAAGTCAGGCTGCTACAGAAGCAAACTTGAAGAAGGTTACCACTGAGTACTGGGTTTGAGGAGATGCCACCAGTGATAGGCATAACATGTTGCTGGCCGCAGGAGGTAGGCCATAGATTAGCAGCTGTATGTAGATTGTGTTTGACACTGTGAAGGAGTCAGTTTCAGTATCTACTCGGCCATACAGGGTACAGTCTCCTGTGTGCTGCTGCTGTCGTGTTGGGTTGGCATGCATTGCAGAATTGCAATGTGTTGACCTGCAAGTAGGAAAGTTAGCTGGCTTGATGCTGACCACAGCTGACCCATTTGAAAGAAACCTTATTCTGCATGATGTCAGCTAATCGTGCTTAAAACATGTTGGAACTTAACAGCTGGTTAGGAAGAACACAAACCTGTCCTGATAAAGTATACATAGGGCAGTCATTCGTTAACAGCACTGCAGTAGTTGAACCAAACCACTAGAAGAAGGCTGGTGTGAAAACTTTAGACAAGATGTGCTGTGAAGCCTGCTGACCTGCCAGTTCCACAGGCAATAGCCAATAGGCTTTCTCTGCATACTCTGATACAACCACATTATGCAGGATGGCAGATACAAATGCTCAAAATATTGTCATGACAGGAAAATTGTTCTAACAACACGAGCTGAACAAAACTGTGTAAGTACATGCCCCTAACTAAACGCAAAATTCACAATGGTATTTTGCCAGTGTGACGTGAAAAGGCTCTCGCTACATTCAAGGCACATGGCTGGTTTCCCTTTATTTGGAGAGAAAATGTGGAAAAAATCCCTGGCAGGCAAGTACTTCAGTTCAAGGGAACTTACAGTTGTCTGGGTAAATTTAGGGTAATGACTGAGCATAATTGTTATTTCATGAAACAAATACTGAGATGTTTCACACAGATTGAAGAAAAGTCTGTGCTTCATAAGTAAATAGTCTGAGGAAAATCATCAGTTAATGAGGAGGAACACTCTCTCAGTGAGAGGACAAGGATGAAACCCCTGTGAAACCCAGCACAAAGGAAAGCAGGAAACTTGCAGCTCTTGCAAGATCATCTGGCATCAGATAAGCAGAAAGCGTACTTAAGAAGCATTTGCAACACTACTGAAGAGACAAACCCACATGTGGTGGGGTCAGCATTATCAAACTCGTCCAACAACGATTTTGTACTAGGACATCTAGAAAAGCATCTGGGCTGGCCCTGAGACTCCATTCCTCTGGATTTCAGGCAAATATCATGCATCTCTATGCACTGCTGACTGCAGCTTCTTAATCCTTTCAAGCGACTGAGGAGATGACTTGTCTTTTCTATCAGACTTGGTCTTCAAGAGTTCCGCACCTACCTGATCAGCCCATTTATTTCTTTTAGGCTGTTTCCATCTACTTCATAGAAGACTCACTGGCAATATGTTTAAGATGAAATAAACATCTTTATTTAAAAACTAAAAGTACGGACAGAGCACTAAAAGAAAGAGGCAAAGAGAGAATAGATATTTCAACTCAATTACAAGGAAAGAAAGAACAGAGCTGGCACAGAGACATCCCTTAAGACTTTGCTAAGCCAAGACAATTTGATCTCATGTTCTTGAGCTGAGCAGTTCAGCAGAAGAGTACATAATGTAAGCATCACATGAATAATTCTATAAGAAGCAGCGACAGATTTTAGAATTGCTCTATCAGTCTACCTAGTATGTACTACAACATGCCTTGAAACACATAATGCATATTAGGAAACAATAATTAATAACTAAAATGTGTCTTTGGTCAGTCAGTGCAATATTTATTTCCCAGAAAACTTTGTTTATGAAAGACTTAATGAGATAAATGGATCTACCATTAATTTTATCAGATTCCATATCTCTGAACATGGGAAAAGAGAGTGTTTGGCTCATTCATGACAGCAATGCCTACATTAAGTCTCTCTAACTGATATTCCCAAAATTGAGCTCAGAGGAAAACACGTGGCTTATATGCCTTTTTTTGTGCAATATACACAACTATTAGCCATTTAAAACAATTATAATTTCTACTAGACAGAGCCATTGTACTGCATTGAGTTCCAGTTAAGACCTTTCTTACTCTCCTGCAAAACAACTAGTTTAAGAACCACTTCCATATCCCAATAGCCAATGTGAAAAAAGAACAGGAAGATGCAAGATCATTTCTTTTCTGTGAAACTGTTTGTAAGAAAGGAAAAGCTTATTAGCTTCATAATAAGATTCATAATTTCATAACAAATATGAATTCCTATGTAAATAACACCACAGGTTGAAGGAGCCATTCATTAAAGTATTTTCTATAATTAATGCAGCAAGATTTTTCAAGGGACTTTGGGTCTCCTTGAAGCCAAATGAAATCAGAGCTTTAGTTTATAGATTCTTTGTTAAAAGAGACAGAAAATGAAGTCTGACCTTGAAACATGCAGTCTCCCTTGCTTAATCTTTGCACTTTTAATCACTACAGCATGGGACCTCTCTGAATTCACAAGTTTAAGTATTGTTTCACAAGAAGATTACATCCTAATTTAAGAAATTTAGATGGAAGTCAATCGAGGTAACTGATCAGTTGCATGATGATAGTTGGAATTACTTCTATTTGAAAACTGCCTTTGACATACAGCTATTGTACCTGTTATATCTTTGCCTGTGAGATCAAAGATATGTCTGTGATGAAATAACTGTTCCCCATGAGGTTTTTCTTAACTGTGATCAGATCACCCCTTAAACTTTCTCTTTGATATGCTAAGTAGGTTGAGCTTCTGGCCTATCTTGGTATAAAGCATGTTTTCTAGCCTGTTAATCACTGTACTCTTTTCTGCACATCCCCCATTTTTTTTCAACATTCCATCTAAATTGAACTTTTTATAGTATTCCAGTAGCAACTGCAGCAGTGCTAAATACAGGGGTAATACTGCCTTCCTAGTCAATAATTTATTTATGTGAACAGGATACCATTTAGCAGAGTTTCAGTCTCAATTTGTTAGAGTCCTGTCTGCTCCAAAGTGCCTTAGGTGCCTTGCTAAGGACCTTCTAATCACATTTCTGCATCTTGCCTCTCAGTTGCAGCTCTGCAACCTTTCACACAAGCTGCTGTGACAGTGCTTTGCAATGCCTCTGTGGCACTACTTTTCCTTTGTTCTCCTGTTTTTCATTTGCTTATTCTCATGGTGGTTTTTTGTTTTTGTTTTTGTTTTTAAATATGTTTGCAAATACAGCGTTGCTACAGCAGGTGTTCATGGAAAGCAATTGTCCCCAGTGTGAAAATCATCCCCTTCCCCCTCCAGCTTTTTCCTACTTATTTGCTGTAGCTTTTGGTTTGTATTAGGTGACCATATAACATGCATGTATGAGCTTAAAATTCAACTGGTCATTCAGAACCCACCCTGATCAAAGCATGTTCCAATTAGTGCTAATAGCTTTGTAAGTATGAAAAACCCACAGGGAGTATGAGCAGACTCTAATGGAAAATATATGGTTACTATGGGAAAAGTAGTATGGGGTAATCACCTGCTGCACTGGAAAGAACACTTAGGGGATGAAACTCACCTGGGGACCCCAGCACTTTCTCACAGCTAACTACTGTTATCAATTTTCCCTTTCCTCTCACTTTTCCTTCTTCATTTTTTCATTCTTAGAGATGATGTATGCTACCAAGTACACTCTTTATGCATGTGAACCTGTCTTGCTACAAATTGTCCAGTACTGATATTTAAAGCAAGGATCTTAGGTTTGCAATCTCACATTTAACTGTATTGAAATACATTTGTTTGTTTACTTTCAGTCTGCCAAACTATCCGTATTAGCTTGGAAAATCATATGATGGGAAATGATCAAAATGGAAAGATGCATCAAAACGAGTTCTGAGGAGACTTGTCTGAGATCAGTGCTACTCAAGATTTTAACTAATATGATCTTGTCAAATTTGTGAATGAATGTGATCTCATAAGGGTGACAGGTAGGTCTCAGGAAATCATTACAATTTAAAAGATCCAGGAGAGTCACAAAGACGGTCAGAGAAAATGGCGCTTTTCAGGCTGGAACAGTGAACTGAGCAAATATAAAGTGAAAACCTAATGCGTTTAATGTCTGTAAAAGATTTAGGAGGCAGGAAGATCACAAGCTGAACTTGATTTAATGATGCTAGAGTTGTAAACAAAGGCAAGCACTAGCGGAAGATATATAAAGCACAAGTTACTATGCTGCAGCACAGTCCTTCTAGACTGCCTCTTGCCAGCTTAACCCAACCAGCAGGCGACACAGGGAGGTGAAATGCTTGGATGTGGCTTCTGTGCCATAAGAAGGATGTTTATGAGCAAGAAAGAATACTGAAGAGAGATTTAGATCTAAAAAATAAATCTTCAGAGAAAAAACATGATGGAAAAAAGAATGAAAGTGAAGAGAACAGAGCATGGTAACTTGAGTGCAGTCTCTAAATATCTCGGAGACACCGATTAAAGTTGGGGAATAATTTATTTTTCAGGCCTGTGGTGAAGCTGATAAGAACAATAAACTTAAATTTCAACATAAAGTTATGTCAGACCATAAATAAACTTTTCTAAGTATGGGAGTGGTGAAGTACAAGAATGGATGTGTGGTGATAATTCTAAGCACTTCACTGGATTCTCTCACTGGAAGTCAAAAGTCTCTGATATCTGTCAGAAATGACACAATAGTCTTTGATAAACTTGCTTTGAAATATATCTTATTCTTAAGAACTGAGCCATTTATAGAACATTTTAATAACAATTATGCTGACAATACTTACTTTCATCCTCAATGTACCCCTTCCAGTCAAATGGAGTCACTGTTGAATTAACCAGTGTACCATTTTCACCAATGGTGCTGTTGAGCTGGGAAGTTATATTTGTTTCCAGAGTGAAATTTTCTGGAGGCCACTGCAGACATTTATTCCTCAAGTTGCCCATGAACAGCTGCAGCCCTATTAGTGCAAATACACTCAGACAAAACACAGTCAGGATCATAACATCCGAGAGCTTCTTCACAGACTGAATTAGGGCTCCCACAATAGTCTTCAAGCCTGAAAATGTAAAGGAATTTTTATTCTGGTGTTCAAAAGATTTTTAAAGCATAAAAAATGACAGTATCTCCCAGTAAAGTTATAGATTTCATGCAGAAGCCCAAATAAATGATCATAATGTCTGTGAAATAACACTTTTGTGAAGAGCTTTTTCACTTGTGAAAATGAATAAAAAGCCAAAGTGTATGTTCATTTGAAACAGTAAATGGAATGAGTTGCATATATTTCAAAATACTTGTTTTAATACTAAAACAAGTGACTTTGTTATTCATGCTATACATGAATCTTGCAGAAAAGTCTTCTTTCTTTTTGTTTGTCAATACCTCTTGCCCCAAACCTTTGCTATTAACAGTTTTATAACATACTAGAATTAGAAGACAGTAGTAAAGAGCCTGTTTATAAAAAAATTCAGTTAAATTTAATGCTATAAAACTGGAGATGGTTTGGAAAATCATAGAAGTTTAAGATAATAAATCCCCCATGCAATGCCCATGCTATTCTTTATTATCTTATTCCATTAACTTTGTTAATTAATCAACATTTAAAACAGTTCTATTTTTAAGACACAAAATCCACAACAAATACCACACAACATCATGTAGGTAAAATACATATGGGTAAGAAAACTTCAGGGTAACTGATATTCATTGAATGTGGAGAAGAAAGCTTGACATCAGAAGGTGAAAACCACACACGCTTTGTATTGCAATGTCTCATGCAAGAATCTGTTAAACTCAAAGGCTGATTTCAAAAGGAAAGAGCTCATGTTAAAAAGCAATGAATCAGAGATTTCAGTAAATTCTGATATCTTCCAATTCCTGCTTTTTTTTTTTTTTTTTTTTCTTTTTTGTGTGGAAAGAAATAAGGCTTATGCTTCAAAAACATGAGTATAGCCTTTGTGGAACAACAGTCAGCCTCAGTGTTTAACCTAGCTCTCACCTGGAATGACTGATATTGTTTTCAAAGCTCGGAGAACTCTGAATGTTCTCAGCGCTGAGACATTGCCCAGGTCCACAAACTCTGTCACATATCTGTAATAGGGGAGTTCACACACAAACACAATGACAGGATAAAAAGGAACAGTTGGGAGGTACAAGGGGCCTAACACCTTACACCAGTTACTTCTTACCTGGGATTACAGAAATAGTTTTCAAAGCTCTCAATACTCTGAAAGTTCGAAGAGCTGAAACATTGCCTAGGTTTACAAATTCTGTTACATACCTGTAGGATTAAATCACAGTTATTCAGAATTTAGGCAAAGTTTATGCTACTTACTTGGGTCTTTCATCAAGACCACTTTGGCGTTTTTAGCAAAAAATTAAATATCAACAGTCAGAGGTTTACCTTTCATTGCAGTTTGCCTTGCATTAATATGCTTTCAGGGCCTTCAGTTAATTTTAACTTCTCTGAAGTGAATCACAGTGATTTAACTTTGAAAGCCTAAAATTTATCTAGACTAGATTGGTAAGTTTGTGGAATGAAGTCAAAGGGATGCTCCTTTTCTGCTCAGAGAAAAAAACGCAGGACATGAAATTAGCCTAATACTAACTGAACTAATGGCTTCCGCAGTATTTGTTTTACATCAATATATTCACATTAGAATGTGAAAATTGTTTTAGACAAAGTAAATTCATAGAAGTATTTCTATTTGATGAAATTGATACGTATTGATACTAATTTCATGCCCTTTTTGCCCTTCACTTTCGAAGAAAAAGAAAAAAACAAAAACTTACGCAAAGGTAATGACAGTGAAATCGAGCCAGTTCCATGGATCTCGAAGAAAAGTAAAATCTTCTAAGCAAAAGCCTCTTGCAATAATTTTTATAAGCGACTCAAACGTATATATTCCAGTGAAGGTGTACCTGGAAAATATCAGAAAAATTAATTGAAATAAGTAATAATATTCTACACTTGCACTGAAAAGAAATGTGGTAAAAAGCAGTGTCTTCTGACATGCTTTATACTTACTGTATATATTTCTGAATTCATGCACATTAAATACAGAATTACTGATCTTATGCATAAATCAAAGAAATAAAACCATAAAATATATAACATTTTTTTTTAAATTATCAGTGACACTCAGTTTAAAATTATACTACATCCATTCTGTGATCCAAGAACATTGTGAGCATAAGATACTGGATACTGTCAGAACCACTAAAATCAAATCCAACTAGTATTAACTTTAGAAAAGGGAGAATACAAGCATGCACATAAAGTTTCACTTTAAGAATACATTTCACTTTAAGAATACATGTGGATATATGCTGTCTTTACCTGGCATCTACAAATAGCCACAGTTCTACTCTTAATGTAGTGGCATTAACACATGGTGTAGATGCTAAACCATGAAGATAATAAAGAACTAGTGGAATCCAAGTACAACAATATCCATAAATAACTTCTATTTTTGTCAACCCAAATATTCTCCCAGAAATAGATTTGAATTATTATCCAACATTTCTACATAGTATAGAGAGGAAATACTATCTCATGATAGTTCCAGCCAGCACACAACTGCAGTTGCAAGCATATTGACTTACTGAGAAACTGTCAGAGGCATGGATATCTTTAAGTAAAATGTGCAACTTACTCTACATTCTTGGTCCAGTCCGGAGGGTTACTCATGGTCATAAACACACAGTTGGTCAAAATAGTGCACATAATAAGCATGCTGAATAATGTAAATCATAGTTAAGGGAATTACAATAGCAATTCAAGCAATGTCACATCAACCAGAGATTTTAAGTGCAGTAAAATATTACCATTTGTAATTGTGTAGACTAAAACCTGATCCAAAGTAGCCACACGATGGCAGCAGAAAATAGGCAATACTACATACACCTTTATGCCAAACCTTTGACTTCAATTTTTCCTCTAGTCATCTTTTTATATGTTATATTCCTTAAAAATACTTGCATGAAAAGTATTTACAAATGAAGTTGCATGTAAGAGCCCAAGAATTTTAATTTCATTAAAAAAAAAATAATAGGTACATAGCATTTTTTAGTTTGAGGGTTTTTTGTTTTGTTTTGTATTGTTTTTTTTAGCATAAAAATATAACTAAGCAAAAAAAAGAGCAACCTTCACTGTAAATGAAAAAGGAGGAGGAAAAGTTACATTTCAACCTAAATTTTGCAGAAAATTTGTGCTAGCATTCAGATAATTACTTAACGCATTCAGACTCAAGCATATACTTTCAAGTTAACATTCAAATCACAGGGAAGGATTTACCTGCCCAATTTCTATAGGTGTCATTTATCTAAGTTGTTGAATAAGCAGTAAATATAGTGATACCTTTCATTAAAGTGACAACTCATTTGGGGGATTACATTGTCATACAAGCTTTGAATAGCAAAAATCATTGTTATTTGCGTAGAATAATTAATTATTATCCTATATGGTGCTTGTGCGCACAGTCCACAGGCAGGATTCAAGATTCTGAATTTATTTAATTGAGAAATTTCCTTGTCCAAAGAGAATTAATTTTGGTAGTTGAAAAACATGGAGATATCTCCTGGAAGTTTCATTTATCTCATAAAACAAAGTACATAAAATGTAATTAGAAATACAGCACTCTGGAAAACAAACAAGATTCTTATTTTAGGAATATTCTTAAAAATGGCAGAAATGTGATCTATGCCAGTAGGATAAACACTATCCATTCAGATAATATTCTTGGTGCTAAATACATATGTTTGATGCTGAAGCATAAAGAAGGCTGTCATGACTTTTATAGGGCTAAGCAAAGAGCTCTATCACCATGTATATCACATACAAAACTACTTTGAAAGAATGTTAAATCAAAATGGCCTTTTTGGGAGAGTTGAGTTTTTAATTCTGTGTGGTACATTGTGGGTTTACAGCTCTGTATCATTAATAACAAAGGCCACAGGTAGGTTCTTGCACACTGCTCAGTCTGTACGCAACTCACCATGGGTTTGATTTGCATGGCCAAAGTGCTGTTCACTCTTAAAGGGAGCAGATGAACAGATGCTCAGCTGGGATAATGTACTTTGAAGTCTTAAACCTGGCCATGCTTTCCCATATGAGAACCTCAAACATAATTGGTACATTCAGTGCCTGTGCCTCTTTTTCCACTTCTCTCACATTTTGAGCGTATTACAATCTCAAACTTCCCTTAATTTAGTATTTTATATTATGTAAGAATACAACTATACACATATGTGAACAATTCTGATATATAGTGATTTCTTTTTCACACTCTTCCTGCACAGGAACGGTTTTCATTTAGAGCTACTGCTCAACCTCAAGCCAGCCACTTCCTGGAACAGATGAAGTGGCCTACTGCCTGATACACTTTGTGGAAGATGGAAATCTGGAAAAAAAAAAAAAAAAAAAAAACACTGCTAGTTGGTTTTCCAGATAGCTCCTGGTAGTGAGAAAATACTGAATATCACTAATTTCAGTTTCCAAAGGCTAGCTAGCACAGAGATACTTTCCAAGGTACCACTTTTTTTCTTATGCTTCTCCTTGATCCTTTCTAATACTCCTTGCACCCTGCAACTCCAGCCACTGTTGCCTGCATTTTTTTGTCTTCTCACCCCCCATCTCTTCTAACTTTTCCATTTGTTCCCATTCATTGCATAAGTCTGGCCATCCTCCATCACTCTTGTGTTGCCTTCAAAACTGAATAATTTACCTTGAGTCAAACAGGCAGAATACCAGGGGGTGAGTCAGCAGAGAAATTCATGCTGTTACCAATTCTTGGGGACTGCTATTACAATAGGTACCAACAGTGAAGTAAGAACAATATCAGAAGTCTCAGAGCTCTAGAAGAGACACACACTGACTCCTTGCTGAGTGAACAACATCTGATTGTGTGTCTGGGCACATGTGGTTGGAGCCCCATATACAGAGGTTCAAGGAATTCAGAGGACATTATGTGGAGATTCTCCAAGATGCACCAGTTCCACTGTGCTCAAAATACATCTTTTGCACTGAAAGCAAAAGGCACTGTTCTTTTACAGAGACTACAATGCCAAACTCCTGCCTCAAAGCAGGGCAGTAGAGTTTACTGATAAAAGTCATAGGATTAGTAAAAATAGTAAACAACATTACTGCCTTTTTTTTTTTTTATCTTATAAGCTAACCTTGACAAAATATAAGTATCCAAAACCTAAAATGCATTATGGAACATTGTAGGTGACCAAACACATTAATACTTGCAGTGTTTGCTTTGTATTAAATTAAAAACAAATAAACAAACAAAAAACCCCACAAACCTGTCCTTCCATTTAAGATAAAACAAACAAACAAAAATAAACAAAACAAAACAAACAAAAAAAACACTTCTGTATTTAAGATAAAAATAACTTCAATCTGACAGTACTGGCTCCTTTTTCTCACCATCATCACCATGATGCCTGCAGGTCTGTCAGGTCCCTTACTGTCCCCAGCTGCTCCCTTCTTTCCAGACACTTTCCATCCCTCTTATTGCTTTAACTTCGAGAGAGCTTAGAGGAAAAGGGCTACTGAATCAGCAGCAGCCCTCCATTTTATTCTTCTTAGCCAAATACTTAGAAAATATTTAGAAAATTGCCCCAGCAATCTCTAGTAAGTCTTAGACTTCTGCCTTTGAGTAACTGCTCTACTTTTACTGTTATGCTAACGTTTCCATGTGGTGATTGCTTTCCCACTCCTGGCGTTGTACAAGAAGTTGCACAAAAACCTCATTCTCTAGAAATGTCCATCAGCTGTTATGAACATCAGGCACCAATCTAGATACCAGACTAAAACCTTGTATCATGCACAGTCCCATCAGTTATGATCCCCCAATCATTAATCATTTGCACATACAAAGACATTGCAAACTGCCTGCAATGCTGCTGCTGCTGCTTTCTGGCAGTGGCTTATGATATTTCCAATTAACTAGATTGCAAAATTTTAAAATAGAGAGCTTTTCTGGAATTTGTGAGTACAAAATGCTTTCATTACTAAATATAATTTCTACTATTGATAGGCTTCATAGCAAAAAAAAAAAAGAATCAGAAGCATGTAACAATTTAATATTAACATAAATCTGGAGAAATTTTTCTGAAATATTCCTGCATATTTCAATTGTCTTTAAATTAACAAGACTTTTAAAAAATGAAAAAGATTTACAAATCCAGAGATTAGTGATTTTTCTAATCCATCTGTAAATTTCCATAATTAAAGTACCAAAATTTGACAGGATAGCTATGATGTATTTGAATAATATAATCAAATGTATTTAAATAATATATTCAAATTGCCTTGTATTGATAGAAACTTACCATAATTCTAATGCTGAAAAAAAATAATAACATACGAAAAACTTCTATTTGCAATGAAATAGAAATATGAGTTTTTTTTCATGAACCAAAATTGCAAAAGGATATGAATGTACCAAAATTTTAATAGCTATTTTTCTAAGAGGATTGAACGGAGTTAAAATGTACAGGGCAGAGGTGGCACTGAATCGGAATATTGCCTTCCCTTTATTCAATACTATAAAAGTCTGAAAAAGAAAAACAAAAATTTTTGTAAGTGTGTATTCACTGTAGATGCTTATTTTAAACCTTTTTAAATGACAGTCAGCAAATTCATGAATTTTTGAATAGTTAATATACAAAACGCATGACACACTTTTGAAATAAAACTTACTGCCAGTACTTACCTGATGTCCAAAATTATAATTTTAAATATAGAACATTCATTTCATTAATGCTTTTGTAATACTGCTTTGTTAAGCAATATCAGTTATATTATTCACTTCTTGTAGCAAAAGATGCAGAAATGATTAACAAAAATTTTAATTGTGTTTATAGTTTCCAAAGCTTGTGCTAAGGATAAAGATAAATAGGAATAACACATGTAGTCATGAATCTCTGAGGACTGTGGGCATCCAAGTATACCTTACCTGAGGAGAATAAGAAACACATCCCAGATGAGCACCCTGCAAAACTGTATTTTAAAGGTGTAAATCCTTCCCAGAACACATACATCGTGTTAGATTTTATTTTAACCACTAACAAGTGCATAAAATTCAGGGAAACTTTGAAAAAAATTGCTTACAGTGCAGCCCATTGTGGCTGCAAGAACTGACAATACAACGTTGGAAATGCAGACTGCCAAGTTGCTTTGTGGCAATGAGGTGATCTTCAAATGTAGAAACAAACAAAAAGAGAACAAAAAGCACTGCAGAAGGAAGAATTGGTAATTTGGAAGAGATCTGCATGCACAAGGATTACTGCCTAAATTCAAGCAGAATTGAAGGTATTGAAGAAACCAGCAATGAGAAATCTCTTAAATTGCTTTTTCTGTTTTGTTAGGGTTGTTTATTCTTGGACAAACTATGATAAAGCTTCCTTGCTTATCATTATATTGCTGAAGAAGTGAGCCGTAAGCTAGGATGCCACTGGAAATGTGAGAAAGGAGATACTGATCTCTTCTGGTTATCTGTGAAGGTGGAGCAAGACATGAAGTTTACTGACTGATGGCAAGCAGTGTACAGAACTATTTCTGGGAAGGCTATAAGTCTGAGAAAAACACATCAAGAATTTTCAAGGAAGACAGCTCTTCAGTCTGCTTATATTCACGATGCTTAGTGTGTGCAGACCAGGAAGTAATGATACCAATTGCTAGCAGCATCCAGGAGGCAGAGGGAGTTGCAGAAATAATGGTTTCCACAAGCCTGTGGTGGATACCAAGAACAGACGGCAGAGTAGAAGGGAATGAGTACTGAGTAAAAGCTCTCCCAGCCCTAAATCACTTTCTGTCTTCTTCCCTGAGCTGCCTCTGTTCTGGCTCTATGCAGCACGCCTGGTAACACAGATCAAAGCCCTTAATACTTGAACACCAACTCAATATATGTAGTAAAGCTATGAGAGATGTATTTGTTTTTCCTGCTTCTGCACAGAGATGGAGAATCTGCACGATGAAACCAAACAACAGGATAAGAACTGAGCTAATGCTCCTAAATTATATTTGCAGTTAGATTACAGATAACAAATGACCTTTCAAGGCTAACTGCAGTTCACTTGCCCTTGAATTAAGGTTTCATTTTAAATATGTGAGTAGCCAAACAGATGAATTATGGGTTTTGGTACCATTTATCAAGGGCCATGGTGAATTTTCCCTCTCATATCTGGCCCCAGCCCCCAGACCTCACAGCTCACAATAACAGCTTCTGCAGCTATGAGGTAGTTGAGAAAATATAATAAAAATCACACTTCCTACCAGCTTTGCATCTAAAACTACACCACCTACATTTAGCCAACCTACATCTTTTTAAAAATCTTTGAACACAAGCATATTAAACATACATTTCTTTTCTAACGTGCCTTATGGAAAATAACAGCATGCTGGCACCACTCCAGTTTCAGTTGAAAGCTGCTGCTATTTTAGTTGTTCCACTTTCTGCTGCCCTGCATAAGCAGAACCAGCAAAACTTACAATTTCTATTTCAGTTTTAATTTTTCATCCAAAACATTTCTGTGATGGGAACCTTGAAAATGACTGCATTGGTCCACTGACTTCTAGCCTTTAAAATGAATTAAAATTGTATCTTGTCAAGAATTTTCCTAAAAATGCAGAAACAGGGATTACAGCTAATGTCCAACTCCTGCGTAAGCTTCCTGCATTTGCACCTAGTCTCATTCCAGATGCAAGGCAGTGTGCAGGGAGTGTGGATGAATATGAAACATTCTACCCAAATCTGACAGAACAAAGTAGATATACTCTGAGAAATAAATTCTAAATAAATTATAAGATTAATATTCATATGTGGAAGATTATGTATACTTTCCAGGGTTTTTGTTTCAGAAAGGGCTTTATCATTTTATAAAGGCTCAGACTCAAAGTATTCCAGTGTAAATTTAAATTCAATGAAATATCTAAAGAGAAGGGTCTAATTTGCAGCTTTGTGCCTGTAAACTGGCTTCCAGCTCTATAATTTTTGCCATATTTGACCCAAACTGAGAAAATGCAGTCTTACCAGGGCTACCAGGAGGAAGAAACTGCTTCAAAGCCAAAACTCTCATTTGGCTTTGAAACAGCTTCTTGAAGGCTGAGCACTACTGCATTGCATTACCACTTCCCATGGTTAGATAAACACTATCTCAAAACCCACAGCACCTTCTGTAGTGCCAGCTTCTTAGTCTTAGCACCCAAATAGTTTCTCAGGGAAAGCCCTAGAGAGGGCCAGCACAAGAGACTTGTGGCATTTCTGAAATTGGCATTTTCTTGTTTTGTGGTTGTCTGTTGAAAGTATTTTTTTTTTTCTAGCTAGATCTTAGTTTTTCTGTGTTACTGGAACTTTTATCTTCAAAATTCTTTCATTTGAAACTATAAAAGATATTTAAGATCACCAGTGCATTCACTTTTTCTTATGTTAAGTAAAATGATTTTACAGGTTTTTTTGTTTCCTTCTGCAAGACAAATCAAGTCTGGGAATCCAGGAAGTATGGTTTGATAGGATTAGGCAACTGGTGTAACCAAGGACAAAAGGACAGAGCTCTTCTGACAGGCATCAATCAGCAAGAGGCAGGGTGGGCAGAGGCAATCAGCAGCAATGCTAAATCTACACTACAGCAGGAGAAAAATGAAGTAGGGCCCATTTAATTCCAGCTATTCTTTCGCTCCTTTTAAATGAAGCAGCCTAGCTTCAAGATAAAATAGCCAGACTTTAAGGTAAGAAACCAAGTGGATGAGATTTTGAAGCATGCCTGCACATGAGGATCTGAAAGGGTTCCAGCTGATCCTTTCTCAATAGATAGTGATATGAACCTCCCTGATCCTTTGTGATGGCAGCTTCACCATGAACAGGCAGTCGCCATTGTATTTGGAACACACAGATTTGCACTTAAACAGGAGTAGAAGACAAAAAGTGAACAAAGTTTTAGAATGCTAAACTTGACAGTTCCAAAGACCAGCATTACTGAACACCATGTACAATGGCACTTCATTATAATAAAACCATAAGAATTTAAGGAGGGGTATTAAATTGTAATAGATGAATTTTGTTCCCATGGTCCAGTTGCTGGCATTAAGGCTATCTGAAGTACAGTGGAAATCTATACTGCTATTAGGTGCTATTTTTGCCTATTCCGTTCATCTTTAAGTTAATATTTATTTAATGTATTTATTGATACATCCTCTTTGGTGATAAGTTTTGCATAGAAACAAAGATACCAAAACATAATTTCAATTTGATCTCATATGCAGTACAGTGAAAAGTATCATTCTGAAAATAAAACTGCCTGAGTATGGCAAAATAGGTGGCAGATTTCTGTTAATTACTTAGTAGTTAGACCTTTAGGGAAGAGCTCAGCCCTGCTGATTCATATTACCCAGCAAAGAAGACTCCCTGTTCCCCTTCCAAAGAAAGAAAAAAACAACAAACAAAAAAACCCACCACCAGACCAATTAGTGTGATGCAATACACAGATATCAAGTAACTGATGCATGATTTTCCTTATGACTCAAATTTGGAATAAAGAGGGTATTTCTACAGCCTATTAGATTTTCTGAAGAAATACAGTGAATACGATTATTAGAATCATTTGACAAACACTGTAGATAACCATTGTTGTAGCCTATTTGAATGTTTGGAAGTCAAACTTTTAGATGTTCTATGGCTGAATCAGATATCGTTTATGCACATCTTAACAGAGATGATCCACAATAGCGGCATTTACTAATCCATATACTTGTCCTAACTCTTTCTAACAAATAGTAATTTTCCTTCATTCTGTATCGCTTCTTTAGACCCATGTAATTTCAGATAAATGCTTCCCCAGGCAGCAATATATAGTCACTAACTATCATGCAGCAATTGTCAGGTTGTTACTTTGGGACAGTGTATGCTGCTTGACTCCTTGACTTTATAGGACAGAATTCAGAGAGGAGTAAAGAAAAATCTGCAACATGAAATGGTACAGAGGTGAACATACTAAGCATTAAGAGTGCTTTGGCTCTTCCTGGAGTTGTTCTCTTCTGCTTCAGGCTTTTCTCTTTCAAGATTTATCTAGCAAGATAAAAATGTTTTCAGAATTCACATAAAAGTAGATAAGAAAATCTAGGATTTAGATATTTTAATGCTGGAATTTATGTCAGGAAAACCTATTTTCCTCCCACTGAAGGAAGGAAGAATGGAGAGAATTGTAATGGGTGAGAAAACTTTGTCTTGTATTTGAAAAAGCTGTTTCTATTGCTATTTCGCAGAAGATTGAATCACTTGCATAGAGCAGATCCGTGGACTTGAGCACAGAGAAGAAAATGCCAGCAGGCAGTACTGCAAATGTGACTTGCCTGTAGAAGTTATTTAGCGTGCAAATAAAAAGATTCTTCCTTTCACATAGGCCAGATCTAGAAACTTGATTTAATACCTTCAGCTAGCAGACTTGCCTGATGCAGTAGGTTTTCAGCTCCACCAATGAATGGGCTAAATGGCTTGTCAATTTCTAAGGGCTCAAGAAAAGTACCTGTAGGTCATTCCTAGCACATCTTCACAGTTCTCACTGTTCAGACACAGAAGACTGATTGATTTGTCTATAAACATCCAGGATGAGTTCTGGGCAGGTAGAGATACAATTTTGTATGATTTTGTATCATAATCAGTCAGATGCAATCAGTATGGAACTCCACAAAACCTGATTTTGTAGAAACAGATCTTTCATCTTTGTAAAAGTAGAACTGAGATTTAAAGAGTTTTTATATACTATGAATGGCAGATAAAGGCTCTTTCAGAGTCATCAAATAATAAAGATAAAAATATTGTGCTCTCACATAGTATTTTCTCTCTTGTCAAAATCAGACTGATAAATCACATAAAATTTAGCAAGCTAAAAGACACTCAGAGCACAGCATATTGTGCAAATCAAAATAATTCCTGTCTTGATATTTATAGAGTTTCATAATCCCAGTATCTAATAATTAAAGCATCACCCAAGCTAGCCATCTTGCTGGACTGTAAGCCTTTTCTGCTGCATATAGACAGTGCAACAGAATTAGCTTGGAAGGATTCCAGAGCCTTTGAAGGCCACTTCCACCAGAAACCTTAATATCACTTTTAGATTCTTCTTGTGATACTTCCTGCTTATCCTTATGTTTCTCTGATTCCAAAATTTCCCTAGAATTTGAAATCACCTGATTCCTGGGACCAAAATGTTGGTTCATGCTGTTAATTTTAAATGTAAAGAACCTTAGACACAGAATGACACATGGGCGTATTCAGTTTCAGTAAATCTGACATGGTTCTATGTTTTTTTCTTTGGTGAAATTAGCCATTTTTGAAGGGATACTTTTCCTTCACGGCTATTAACACTCGTTCCCAGAGGGAGGCAGCCTCATCCGAACATCGACTAATTCCTCTATCAATGACAAAACCTTCACTCTTTCAAGTTTGCAAAGTATTCAATCTATAAAATATATATGTTTGTGTAGGTTCTTTATCACTACATCTAGAATCCTTACATTTGTTTACAATCAAAGATTATGTACTGTGTTTCAGCTTTGATATAATTTTGATATAATTGTTCATTTGATACATGTTCAATTATATCAGAAGATACAAATATGTGTAAATGTCGATGCATATTAAAAGAAAATGATGAAAAGTTAATATCCACTAAGGATGATGGCTTCTATTCTGTACCACTGGAGACGATGAGCACTTCGCTACTGTTTAAGAGAGCTGTGTATAGGAGTCTAGATTTTCACTCTATTTATTTATACCCTGCTACGTCCACTACATAACCAAATTATACAGTCAGTCATCATGTCACATTTGCTGCCAATTTGATTGATTTAATATTAAAAATTATACAGTTGTAAAATTTCTCATTACAGAAAGCAGGAAGACTGATCTGCCAACAGCACATGAGGGTGAATGTGTTTTGAAAACATAGAATCATAGAATATCCCAAGTTGGAGGGGACCCACAAGGATGAATGAGCCCAACTCCTGGCTCCACAGAAAACCACCTATTCAAACCATATTTCTGAGAGCACTGACCTAATACTTCTTCAGCTTCAGCAAGCTTGGTGCTATGACCACTTATTATGCATTAGCTAAATTTAATTTTTATAACTAGATGTCAAATATGTATTTACTTTCTGGGAGGTAGAATGAATATCTATCAATGGCATCAAACATTTTCTGTTCTTGTGTGCTAAATATTTTAACAATGATTAGCTGTTTCCACATTATTAGAATGGTGTTTTCCCACACTGGTGTCAGTTAACAGATGAAGAAACTATTTTACTCACAGTAAGAGAATGAAACAAGTATGACAAAGCTCTCCAAACATTTTGATATGAACAGGACTGATATTAGACTCACTTTTTTGTTGATATAATATGGGTCCATATCTTCCAAGGGCTCAGACACCATTCCTGGAGGAATGTCACCATATATGAATGGAAGTGTTTTTCCTGCCTCCAAATCACTGTTTGGCTTTGGCCCATTTTCATCATCGTCTTTACGATCTTGTTTAGAATTCTTAGCTTTTTCTGCAGCAATACGTTGTTCAATAGCTGCAAGAGACTCTCTAGTGAAGTATTGGAAGCTGTCTGGTCCTGGTGGTACAAGCACTGGCTGCTCCATCTTTTCATCCTGCACATTTTAATTACCATTTATTCTTCTGCATAGGAAAATACTAAAGGGAAGCAGAAAAAAAATAAACAAACATGTTACAATCATTGAATAAGAAAGTTACAACATTTATTTTGAAATGCTTTTGTTTATTTTATGTTGGAATGTTAAAATATTACTTTTGGAGCAACCTACGAATACCTTCTACTTATTTCCATGGAAACTGCAACAGATACAAAGAGCACAATAACACTATTGATAGAGCAAATTCTCAGCTACAAAACATTATTTTTAAACACAGTCACCACCATTAGCCACACATTTTTCCAGTAACGAGCAAACCTGCATGCTCATAAAAATCTGCTCCAGTGGAGGTGACAGCTGTGCACTGCCATCTGGAAATGCCTTGCCTTCCATCTCACTCCATCTCATTGTCACCATTGTTGAAACACACCATCCATCCCTCTCTGCTCTCACATCCACTGTTGGTCTCCATAAACATTCAGCAAACATTGATGAATGTCAATGGGTGCAACTTTTTCCACAGAAGAGGAATTCAGTGACACATCCTTGCTTCACAGGCACTTTCATGTCAGATGCCATTTTGTCCTGTGCAAACTACACTGGGGAACTTGCTTTTGCAGGTATATTCAACCCGCAGAGCTAAGCCTGTCCTATGGCTGCCCTCCATCATATGGCACCGGCTCTGCCCAGCTGCGTTGCCCAGGCCTGGGCCCTCACTGATTGTTCACAACAACCAAACAGAAGCAGTATGCAGTCGTCACTGTCTGGGCTGAAACTGGGAACAGGGAGGGCCCAGTGCACTGCTAACTCAAGTTATGGCAAATAACTGTATGCATTTTGATACACTGGCTAAACACAGTCCTGTGAACAGCAAAAAATATACAGCCTCACTCCGTGTTTTGATAATGAATTGGAGAATAGATTTCAAGATTGCCAAAAAAATCATGGTTTTTTTTTTTGTACGTTTGACCCATTTTCAGTCAACATCAATACGTTACCTGCAGATTTTCATATAGAATGTATAGAGTTGCAATCAGACATTCAACTCAAAAATGAAATCCTGCCCTTTTACCGGAATTTTATAAGCCTTATTTTACTAGAGAAAAATATCACTCACCACCCAATCATGAAATAATCATATCATTGTTAATTGGCAGTATGTACATTTGTGAAGCACAGGAAGAATAATATTTCATTAAAAATCTCTGAAGAACAATTGAGAACTCACTAACAATTGCAACCACTGCCACTGAAAAAGCCTGATGCATTAGTTTTACAAAAAAAGGTCAAATATCCTACTACTTTTATGTTCTGTTGCTCTTCTTTCTATGAAAAGAAAAAATATAACAAAATGTTTTGATACTATAATATGTAGACTATATTTTTTGTATGTGGCCCAAGACAATTCCTTTTCACCCAATTCATCTCAAGCAGGCTAAAAGGTGATACACTTATGGACCAGATGATATCCAGAGATATCCGTTTCAACCCTTATGACTCTGTGATTCTGTGTAATTGCACTCGTCACTCATTGCTGTGGTTTTTGCAAAATGATTACTTAGACTTTCAGGAAACTGAATGCTCAGTACAAAGCAGTACACTTCAAAATAAATAAGAGTTATGGAATGACAGAGAAGTAAAAATACAAGTCATAGCTGTGAGGGGAACATATCAACAGATTAAAAGGAAGTAAAACAGAAGCTTTTTTTTATGCGTATTAATGATAATCATGTACATCGTTAATGCCAAGGTAAGCACAAACATTTTAATCACACATGTATTGAGTAGCAGAATAGAGTAGATAAATCAGAGCAGAGGGATCAAAGTGCTTTTGTATATGATCTATAACCCGGTTTTCTGAGAAAAAAAAATATATACTTCTTCCGGGTATATAGAACCATTACCCATAATCAGAGGAACAGATTCTAAATAACTGAGATGAAGATTTCTCACTATAAAATTTAAAAGATGCTGATTTCCTTTAAAAGAAAAAAAAGCAAAACAAAAAGCACCAAACAACCTATGAAGTATTGGCCCCTACAATTAGTACTAAGAGGCAAAATTTTGGAAAATAAGTTACTCAGAAATTTTCAGAATAGTGTCATTGTGTTTGTTCTGAAATGTCGCAAACAAAATATATTCGTATTTACTTAGTACTGTACGCACTGTTTCAAGTCAAATAATTCCTACACACACTCAACATACTCTGTGTGTACAGACCATTTGTAAACCACATGCAGGAGAAGTCCGAAGTTATTCAGCTGTATGTGTATTATTAAACACATAGTTGATCTGCCCATGCATATTAAGTCTGAGGCATCCAGAACTACTGTGGAGCAGCTATTCACACATTGACCATCTGGGCAACATGCCTGCAATTGTGTTAACACTTCCCTGATGGATCTGATCTACTGTATTCCTTGTGTAGTCATACATCTATGCACGCTAACAGAATAACTCAAGCTCAAATATTCATAGAGCTTTTACAAATTCCCAGAGTCTTCAAGTTTCACCTACACACATTTTCTAAGCAATATGAAGGGACATGAAGCAAACAGACAGGGAGGTGCTGCCTCATCTAAAAGTTGTTCCAAAACAGCTGCACACTGATGTTTGAGAAAATCAATTAGGTAGTATTTAACTTTCTGAAAAAGAGGATGTTTTAACAAGATTATTTCCTAACTTGATAAACATCTATCTTAGCTTTCATGTTCTCCATGTCTTCATAACTAAAAGAGGAGTATTAATACTTGGAAGTGCAATGAGGTAATACTGTAATCTTCATTTTCATTTAAAAAATAATTCCTGGGTATTAGTGAGAGTATCAGTGATAAACACAGGGAATGTCACCTGGCTGATTCAAGGCACAGCCTGAAGAGTGCAGCTACTACAAATAAAGATAAATCAATCTACATGTAAACCCACACAGCCCAGATTTCTATGGAATTTTCTTCTTTGTTTGTTTGTTTTTGTTTACTGACATGGTTCAGCAATTAATCATTATGATTCATGCCATCAGAATGCAGAATAAGATTGAGAAAACTTCAACAAAGTGTGGAGGGGAGGTACTGCCAACTGATACAACTTTGTATGCGAGGCCTTAGCTGAGGAGAAACACCTTTTCCTTTCTTAACAAAAGCCAAGTCTGCATCTGGCCTGTTTAAATCCATCATACTTGCACAGGTAGCTCTGAAGCAAAGTAGTCTATCTGAAGCAATGCAAAGGGACAGAAATAAGATTACAATATTAAGACTAAACAACTTTTCTTGACTTCCCATAGCTCACATACAAAATTAAATTTATTTCTAATGATCAGATTTATGAGGGAAGCATGCACATTACCAGACTGATAATAGATTTTTCTATACCATTTAATATTGCAATCTTGATATTTCCTCTCTGCATGGCTAAAGCATATCTGGGTACACAGATTTGCTTGTATTAGACTACTTGAACTTGGCCAACTATACTTACTTCATGCATATTATTTTTAAAGAAAGGGTAAATATGTGAATTATTGGAAATACTGAAAATATAGTATATTCTAGATCAAGCAAAAGCCTATGCATTACAGTTAGCCACTTCCATCACCTAAGGTAATGCCCAAGAAGGATACTGGCACACAAGGTGACAGGATCACTATGTAATTTGCCACAGAGTCACAAATACCCATAGTTAACTACGTGATTTAGCAAGACAGTTTAGTGTCCCAGTCTAGTCTGCCCAACAGCTAAAAAACAGGACCCGGAGAGAGGAAATACAGTAAATGTCTGTGATATCCACACTTATGTATAATTGCTTAGTTTACATCTCATTACACAAGTATCTGTGCTAAACTCCCCCATCAGCTTTCATAATTCAATGACACATTTTCCATCAATCAGCAAAACTCATAGTACCACAGGCAACAGACCATCAGATTTCTCTTTACATTGCTCTGCCGTCACTATGCAGGAATTAAACCAAGAGTTACTGGAACAGAAAGAATGCCCATAAGAAAACATAAACTAGGCAGCCTAATGGGAAGCCTTAATTAGGAAAGGCAGTTACAGCTTCTAATTCCCTGTTCCTAGAGCTATTTCTCTGTTGTATAAGACAAATTCACTTGAGAAGCTGAATACTGCTAGAGGTGTATTAATAACTGCAAAAAAAAAAAAAAAAAAAAAAAAAAAAAAAAAAAAATTAGGAAAGAAAGGTTTAGTTCTAGTTTGAACTCCCAGCTAATTTCTCCAACTCGGGAGGAAAATTCAGTATCACTTCAAACTATCTGTATATGAACTGTTGTCCACTGCAATCAAGCAGACATACCTGCAGACTTTTTGTGTAAAAAACCAAAGCTTCACTCACCATAACTATGCTGTTTGTCCTATCCTTTTTTTCCCTCAGTTAAACAAATACAGATGGCTGCATGATACGAACACAGCATTTGTCCATCAGCATTAATTTTACATTTACGTATTATTTAGACTGCCATTGGATTTCTCATTAGATTTTTGAATTTAACTAATGTATCTCTAAACCAAAATTTAGCCACTGTGCGCTACTTCAGATTAAAAATAAAGAGCTTTCTTCTGTTTTCTGCTTTGCTAGCTTAATTCCATTAACTGCAATTGAGTTATTTCTTGGTTAAAAAGCTGAAAAACATTAGTTATGCATTCCATAGAAAGACAAAGAATATTTTAATGGAACAAATCAAAAGGCATGTAGATTACTATGCCATCTGAATAAATACATTTAATAGGCTAGAACTCTGGACTACCACCAAGATGAATGAATTGCATGCGCACTGTATTCCTGCAGTGTACCTTGTGTAACAAATAACTGCAGTACAGAGTAACAATTTTCCTGTGCTTTTTCATTTGATTAATGCGTGGATTCTACATACTGGGAATCAACGTTACCAATTTAATCTGAATTTTATCAAGCTGTGCCTGAAACATCTTTCTCCGTTTGCCTTAAAAAATATAATAGTTTTCTATTTCTTTGTT